GTGAGGCGACTTATGAGGCCGAGCAGCGGCCCGCTGCCCAGCCGTCCTCCTGCGCCCCGCGGGGCCGCTGCGTCTCTGCGGCAGGAGCCGGGCGCCCATGGCCTGGCACTGAGCCCCCTGCCTCCTCCCTGCCTCAGGGCCGCGCACCCGGGAAAGCCACAGGTGCTCCAGGGCGGGAAGTGGGGTGGGCTGGGCTTGTGCTTGTGGGGTTTTTTTGGGGCGGCAGCGGGCAGGAAGGAGAGGGGCACAGCAGCGAGTGCTGTGACTCCTTGGGCACTGTTCCCCTAACCGTGTCCCCCTCTCCTTCTGGCCCAGGAGCTCCAGGAAGATGGCATGCCTGCCCGCCGCCCCGCCGGCGCTGAGGAGGTGGCTGGGGCTCGGGCTCTTCATGCTGCTCTGCCTTAGTTTAGGTAAGAAGGAGCGGCCGGCGGGGAGTTCGGGAGGGGGGTGTGCTGGGCCTGAGCAGGCTGCAGCACCCGTGTGCCCGTCGGCAAGGAATGGTGGCTCTCAGGGCACTTGTTCTGGTGTCTTCTGTCAGGGCGGAGGCTGGGCCAGGGTTTGGGGTGGCTGGCTCTGATAACCGTGGTTGGCGAGCGCTGAGGACCCGTGAGCTCTTGGCTGGCTCCCCGAGGGGCAAGGTGGTCACTCATCCCAGCTGGGGTGAGAGCGAAGAGGGTGTTTTTGGAGCGGCTGATGTCTGCGAGGAGCGTGCGGCGCAGCTCCTCGGGCTTCGGCTTCAGTGGCGGTATGGTTTCTGCAGTTTTGGGGATGGCTGACAGTGAGCATGCGGTGGGGAAGACAGGGCAGGGCGGAGGGGACTCGGCCTCCTGGGCAGCACAGCGCACAGCAAGTGCTCTCTCCCACAACACAAGTCCCCGTCAGAGGACTGCAAGGACTGTCCCCCGTCCTTCTCTGAGGACCTGCTTTAAAGCTCGCTAGAGTCCACAGGTCCCTCCTAACCTCAAGAGGCTTGGGATGAGTCTTCTCAGCTGTGTGAAATGTTAATCTTGAAACCACACAAAACTTACTTCTGAGCTGAGGTTTATTGTGGGTGCAAAATAAGTTGTGCTTATTGGCAATTTGAGTGTTTCATCGCAGCTAATGATACTCTAGAGCAAACCTGGGCTGAACTGAGCCTTTGATTAAAAATCGAGTGATGCAAAATTAGGAGTTTTTCATGCTGATGTTGTGAAAATGGGATATATTTGATGCTGAATCTCATTTTGAGTTTCTTAAAACTCAGGGAATTTAACAGGGATTGAATTGCGGAGCTCACTTGTAAAGAAAGCAACCACCTCAAATGCCGCTCATGAGATCTCTGCTCTCCTGTCTTCCCCTGCACTCCTTCCCCAACCTCTGTGCTTGCGACGCACGTGTCAAGCATGGATGTATTTTGCCCGTACTGCAAAGGGTAAACAATCTATCATGTGCAGAACTTTTCTCTCTCTGTACTTTAAGATCTTGTAGTATGTTGTTAATGTAATTACAAGCATGTGGTAATTCACCAGTTGTGCCGTTTGTCTAAAAAGGATGCTGATGCCAAGACCAAAGATGGGCAATACTTGGACGTACAGTCTGATGCATGCTATCCAGTACTAGAAATAGGAGTTTGATAATAGAAAACTAGATGTTCCTATAGCTGTGCTTTTTTTCAATATGATTTACTAAGGGAATGATAGTTTATCCTGCTTTCTGTCTCTTCATCTGTCTTAGGCCCCTGCTCTTAACTTTCAAATCGTCTTCCCAGTTTCAACCAAATTTGACAGGACGCAGGCAGAGCTGGCAGAGAAGTGGTGTCCTTGCCTGCTACATGGAAGCCACTGGCTAGCCACAACAGCACCCAAACAGCCAGAGCACATGCTGTCACTCCTCCTGCCCAGCCAACAGGAAGGGCAGGAGGCAGCTGCGAGGAGGCTGTAAGGGGCATGGTGGCACCAAGGAATTGGGAATGGGCTGGGAGGTGTGGAAAGAGGTGCCTTGGCTGGGAAACACAAGGCACAAATTGATAGGCCAGCAGGATTTCATCATCCTGTTGCTGAGAAGACTTACTTCTCCAAATCTGATCAATTACAAAAGTACAGGGTTTAATTCTGCAAGAAGCAAAGTGGGAAAAAAAGCTGTTTTAAAAGCATTATGTCAGCTTTTGGGGCACAATTGTTAGATTTGAGTCTGTGGAAGTCCTGGTGCCTCAGGAGGAGGTTGACAGACTGCTAAGAACAGCAAAGCCAATGCACTTCCTTTCTCTCTCTGTATGCATGCATACACATCCTGCCATTGTTCTCTCCAAAAAGAGGTATTCCTACGTTTAGTGACTCTTGAAAATACATGGTACAGTACATACAAAGGAGTGGTTCTAAAAGCTTTACTGGGACTTGTAGCTGCTGCCTTCCCTGGTCTCCCACAGGGACCACAAGGACCAACTACTGACCTTGTCGTGGCAAAATTGTGAAGCCCTGGGAGTCTGCCATTGCCCTGCCAGTGACTTCCCACATGTTAAGTGAGTCACCACGGCCAGCATCTACAGAACTGACACCGTGTGGGAAAGCTCACGACCACATCAAGGCACAGTCAAAGCCAGCACTGGGAGCCAGTGGCTACATCTTGCGTCCTTGGGTTTAGCCCAGGTGTCCTGGTGCTTGCACACCTCCGTGCTGTAGTGCTCGAAAGGTCAGGTAGCATGCTAGGATGAGAGCAGGTGCTCTCCCTATACTCTGTGTGAATCAAATAGTAATATAGGGGATGCCAGGATGAATTTTTATATTGTAGCAATCGAAGGCATTAATGGCGGGCTTAATTAAAGAGAATGATTTGAAAGTTGTCTTTCATAGGAAATGGTGTATGCCCAAGCTACATAGAAAAATTTGTTTCCCCTTGAATTGAATTTTGCTACTCTGAGGTTCACCTGACATGACCCACTGAAATGCCAGTGTGATTTAGAGTTGTTTCTGAGATGTCATCTGCTGCTGGAGACACTGATGTACATGAACACTCTGCTGTCTCAGCACAGTGGAAAAGTGGCAGAACAGCCTTGGTTACAGCACAAATTCATTTAGTCTGAATGCATTGCTGGTATCCCCATGGGCTTGTTTTTCTCGTGCTGTTGCACCTTCACACCTCCCTACAAATTACAGGATGTTCTCAGTCCCAGTTTGTTATACTAGGAAAATGTTGCTAGAAGTCGCTCAGTATGACTTTTCCCTGCCTTGTGTGCGAACGAGGTGTAGGCACTGATTGCAGAGACCCAGCAAGTCTGGCTTTGTGTCCATGGAGTATTCCTTTTAAGCTTCCCTGGAGTCTGTTCTTCCAGCTGGGGACTGCCTAGTTCCTGGTTTCTTCCCAATGGTGAAATTTTTTGGGAAGTTTTGAGGAAAATCCCTAAAGCTTTTCTGAGATATTGGAGAGTTGAGAGTGGGGGGAATATCCACTTCCCTCCGCATTGCAAGCAAGTGCTGGCTCACAAGTAGTTCAGTCTGGGAATCCCCTCTCACATACTGCCAATAAAGAGCTCGGAGTGGAGCTGGGTTCCAGAAAGGGACAAAGAAGGCTGAGAACGAGAAAGATTTCCTGTTTCATGGCCGCCCCCAAATACTGAAGTGTTTAGCAATGAGCTTTAGGTGATTGGCATCTAATTTCCATGCGAGCTCCAGTATTGGTTGTGCCTAGGGCAGATTTCATGGCGGAGATGACAGAAATTTTTCTTTACGTACCAGATTTGCCCATTTGATCACTGGATGCAAATTGAGTTTCTATCTTATTGCTCTTGCTACCTTTAGCTGTTTTTTCAATTTAATTTTTCGGATGAGTTTGTCTCCTACCATTCCAGACACGCAGAAAAGAAATGTCTTTGGTTCAAAAACAAGAGCAGTGGAACTAAGGAACTCCTTTTTCTGTCTGTGTCTCTGTCTATCCGGAATGAAACCTGCTGTAACAGCTTGTCTGGGGAAAGAGAAACCCAACTAAAGTCTCCTGCTTTTACTTATAGACTTGCTTTTACTTCTTCTGTTTTTAAAAGAAATTTTAAAATTATTTTTTGAAAAATAACTCTTTAGGAAAAAAGACAGAAAATTAACCATAGACAAGCTACATTCTTACACAGTCAAAGTACAGTTATATGCCTGCATACTGAGTTTGTAAAGCTGCTGGTCAAACATTCTTTTCACCCACATTGTCTCCTTTTTGCAGTTAGATCATAATGAACCCAGATAGCTCTGGTGAACTCACATTACTCTAAAGGCAACAGCTTTTTTGCATTTCTTGAAACACTGAGACATTTGTAACCTTTCTGCAATGTGAATGTCAGATATTGATATTCCTGCATTTAAACATGCAAAGTTTGGGGCCGAAGTTTTTATGCACTTCAGTAGATTACCAGCAGAAGTTGCCACTCTGTATGCCCTCAACACCTTTCCCGCTCATAGCTGCCTCAATTCTGAGTTACAAGTGTGGTTTAATGGGTGTAATTAATCTGACATAAATGAAGGCAGCCATTTACAGAGTTATCCCCCTGCCTTGCTTGTAATGAGTTCGTTTTCTGCAGGGGTCAGCCCGCTCTCTTCAGTGCCAGTTTGCTTTTACACCCAGTGTTGTGTACCCCAGATAGGGATGCAGACAGGCTGCACAGCTGAGGGGGCCAAACAGGTCATTGCCACCAAAAGGTGCAATCCTGCTCCTCTCTCCTCTGCTTCTGGCTGTGTGATCCTCCTTGCCTTTGTGCCAGTTCTGGTTCTGATCCTTGAATGACTTAATCTGCCTTACAGTTTAGCAGAAAGTTTCTTTTTTTCCCCCTTGGTTTACACCAGTGTGACACATTGAACCAGGCTCTGGAGAGTCTTGCAAGGAAAGCAGTGGGAACACATGGGGTTAGAAGGGATAGGGGAGCCAGATCCCCTCTGCTTGTGTGGGGAAGGCATGAGATCAGTGCCAGTTTGTCATCCGGCTGCACCCCAAGGTTGTGCCAAGCTGGAGGAGAATTTTTGTGTCATGGAAACTCTCCTTCCTTTTAAACATGTAACATGTATTTAAACGTAATGTAAGTGCTGTGCACGTGTAGATGTGGTATTTTTCACGAGGTGGCAAAGCAAGTGTGCTGAACACAGTGAAGTCTGTTTGTTGAAAGGAGGTTGGTATTGGTTTTAAATAGATGAACTTTATGTTTAATGGCAGCTGTTCTGTCCCCTTGGAGGGACAATCACCATTGGGAGTCTCAGGAGGTCATCTGAGATTATGTAAATTTTTCCCATTGTGGAAATGCCACAGGCTTTGCTTCTGCTTTTTCACTATTATGCTTTTAAAATATCATTGGTCCCAGGGGACTCCCTGGCTGAAAATAAAAGTGCTGACCGCTGGCTAATGGTGGCATCTCTAGCCTTACTGTGCTCAAAAGATGTTTGCCTTTTGGCGAGCCCAGAAT